AGAATTACAAAGCAAGAAGTTCCAACCACACATCCTTTCTGAGGTAAGGACCTTCCAGGGGTCTGCTGTGTTAGTCTTCAGGTCCTAGAGGACCTTCAGTCTCCTTGTCTGTTCCTTTTAGTGCTCGCTTTCTCACTCACTGTTTCCGCCACACCAACCTCCTTGCTGTGCCTCAAGCATGAACCAAGGTTGTGGTGGCCTCAGGGCCTTCACACCTGCTGGTCCCTCTGCCCAGAATGCTCTTCATCCACATGATTATCTGGCTGCCTCTGCATCCTTTTTCCTGTCCCTTCCCCCACCCCCCAAGAACACAGGCTTCCCAATGCCACCCAATACAGCATTGGATACAAATCACACAAGCAGTGATGGAAGAGAGGTAAAGCCAAAACCAGGGCAATGGGGACACCAGGATGTGGATGGCAGAGAAAAATCCCCTTTTAGACAGTCACGGAACCTTGGACCAAAACTATGGCTTCAGGACCCCAAAAGGAGCTGAATGCTAGCCACTCTGGTGGTAGCATCATACTAAGAAAGATACAGAGTCCAGACTGAGGAGGAGAAAGGCTTCTTTACGTTCCTTTGACAGGAGCCACTCTGAGTCTGAGGTGGCTATTAAAAGGGGACCAAAGAGGACCTAGAGAAGGTCTGAAGGAGGCAGGAGGGCCGCTTCTCAGGTAGAGGTACTTGTCACCAAACTTGACCCAATTCAGTCCCTGGGACCCACATGGTAGAAGAAGAAAAAACTGACTCCTCCAAGTTACACACACACACACACACACACACACACACACACACACACACACACACACACACACGGGGCGGGGGGGGGGGGGGGGGGACGACGGGACGACCTGACTCACTATGAATAAAGTAAAGATGCTGTAAAAGGACTGGGGAGGGGAAGGATAGGTGCATATGGGAGGGAGATTCCTGTCCATGAATTACCCAAGTGGGGCATGCGAAGACAGTTTTTTACTAATTTTTTGTTTAAATGTTTATTTTGTAATGCTGGGGACATTACCCAGGACCTCACACATGCTAGGCAAGAGTTCGGCCTTGACCTGGATCTCCAGACACCACCTAGTCTTCCTTGTATTTTTTTTTCAAATTTTTATTTATTCATGTGGGAGCGTGTGTGGGTATGGGTACACGAGTGCCATAGTATGAAGGCCAGAGGACAACTTGCAAGAGTTGTTCTCTCCTTCTACCAAATAAATTCTGGAGATCAACCTCAGGTCATCAGGCTTAGCAGCAAAAGGCCTTTACCCAATGGCTCAGCATACTGCTGGACAGCCTTCCTTGGCTCTTGGCTCCCCACCTACTCCCTGGCCTGTCTTCCAGCCAGCTCCCATCTTGCTCCTCCAAAGCCTGCCGTATGCCTTTCCTCCACCAGCTCAGTATCGCAGGTATGACAAGAGGCAGGTACCAGAAACAGATGCTGACTTGAATGTAGCCCTGATCCCCTCATGCCGGCCACACACATCAGTGGCTACCCCAGCCCACCTAGTCCATCCAAGATCCACTGAATTCTCACCCACCCGAACCTGGCTCCTGCCCTCATAAGCACCATACACACCCAGCAGTTTGTTCTCTGGGGTCAGACTAGACTCTAAATTCCCTGTTGAGGCCTAGCCATCCCGCTGTCCTATAGACATCAAGGATTTTGTTTGTTTGTTTTTAAATTGAGAGAGAGAGACAGAGACAGAGACAGAGAGAGAGACAGAGACAGAGACAGAGAAAGAACCACAAGAACATGATTGCAGTGCCTGAAGAGGTCAGGAGAGCATCAAATTCCTGTAGTTAAGAGTTAGGTCAGGTGGTTGTAAGCCACCTGATGGTGGATGCTGGGATCTGAACTCAGGTCCTCTGCAAGCAAGAACAAGTGCTCTTACCAATGATCCATCTCTCCAGCCCCCAAGGATCTCAGTGTTCTTTCATATCTCTGCTAATTACTCCTCCAAGCACCTAGCAGTGTGCTTAGAGACTTGTACATGCTGATCCTTTGGTTTGGAACACTGTTTCTTTGCCCAATGAACACAGCTATCAATCTTTAGCTAAATCACTGTCACCCACCCAGGATGCCTCCCTGACTCTCCCTGGGCCAAGCCATGTTACTGTACTCAGTTCTGCCCTGAGGCATGAACTCTGCACTATAACGGACTGATTTCATCAGGCACTGATTACTAGCCAGGCATAGTCCTCAGTTCTTTAACTATATGGGTGTTTGAATGGTGTCATTCCCATTTTACAGCTGGGAAAAATGAAGTAAACCCACTAATCTGAGGGTTGCAGCGCTCACATGGGAGGTAGGTACAAGCCCAGGCAGTAGAATGAGGCAACCTGGGGCACCCAGGTCACAGAGGAGCATCCTCACTGCAATGATTTCTTGTGTCATCCCAGGAGTGGGAGGATGAGACCTTTACTCACTCTCCTGGTCATCTTTAGTAAGCCTTCACCAAATGTTCACTGGCTCCCAGGCACTGTGCCAACTAAATGCTTCCCCCGCCCCGGCAGCCAACGGCCTTGGGTTTGGAGGTGGATATTCTGCTTATCTCAGAGTGGAGCGTGGAGGCCACCCCCAGGCCCTCGGGAGTGTAAAGGGCACTGAGATTTGTCAGGCATATCCCCAGCTGAGGACTCATTAACACTCTCAGAAAAAGATACTACAGACCCATTTTCCAAACGGGCAAAGGGTAACTCAGAACTCTTTCCTGCATCCACAAGCTCCCAGTTGGTATCTATTGCCTCTTCTCTCCCTGACTCCTGGAAACATTCCCCTTTGGGAATGAGTGAGAAGGGAAGCAGAGAAGATCCCCAATATTCCCTCAACCTTGCTGAACTTCAGGGAAGGCCCCAGGCAGGCTGAGCAATACTCGGGGAACTCCACCCCAACAGCATCGATGGCTGGGTGGGGGGCCTGCTGTAAGGCTGGGGGGCTTCCAAGGCAACTTCATCCAAATAATGGGTCTGGGTCACCCCAGTGGAGGCCACACTGGTGTTAGGACCCTGGCTGGGATCAGACTGCAGTCTTAGGGATCCCTGTCTCCCCATATCCCAGGCAGCTCATAGGTTTTGCAAGCTGGGCCCTTGCCTCCACACTCTTCTTTAAGGTGGGAGGACTAAAAGTTCAAGGCCTGCCAGGCTTACAGAACGAGTTCAAGGCCAACATAAATGAATTAGTGAGACTCTTGTTTCAAGATAAAACCTAAGGGCTGGTTGGATGACGGCTCAGTGGGTAAAGTGCTGTGCAAACATGAGACCCGCGTTCAGATCGCCAGCACCCAGCAAAAACTGGGCACCGTGATATGTGCCTGTAACTTCGGGGGAGTGTGCATGGGGGTGGGGGAGGCAGGTGGCTTGTCAAAACAGCAAGCTCCTGGTTCAGTAAGAGACCCTGTCTCAGAAAACAAGGTGTGTGGAGGCCTTGATACCTCCACACACTTGAGCTCACACACACACACACACACACACACACACACACACACACACACACGCATGCACACACATGTACGTACACATGTGTACGTACACCACAAGTGAGCATACAGACATAAAGGAAAGAAGCAACCAAAGCGTTTCAGTGGTGGAGTCCCCCCTAGCATGAGGCCCTAGATTCAACCCAGTCCTAAAGAAAAAACAATAAAGACCCTTCCATACCCAAGTCCATCTCCACACAGGCCTTCCCTCGTGTCCCAATTCCAAACATGCATGAAACACAATTCTTCTGGGAGTAAATAAAGAATTTCTAGCTTCTTATCACTTTACACACCTTCCATCAGGGCTCCAGCCAGCTGCCTCTGCCAGTGTCTTTTCAACCTTCCCCCACATACTGGATGCAGGATCCTCCTCTCAAGACACCATCAGGTAGCTGTTACTTGCTGGCTTAAGCATCCCTCGTACCCAGTCCTGAGAATGAAACTGTGGGCTCCTCATTGTCTTCCAAGCCCTTGTCCACCACTCCCTACCTCCTTTCTTCCTTGTATACACTTCGGATACGTCAGTCTTTTCTGGTCTGCAAACACACCAACGTGGGCCTTTCCCCAGGATTTTGTTTCCTGGGCCCAGAAAGCTCTCCATAGCAGGTGCCATCATGACAGATTGGCCCTTTTCCTCAGACACCCTGGGCTCCCTCCCAACACTCTAACCCCCTATCACCAGTATTTGGATGTGTGCTCTACACGCTTCTGGCACCAGCTGAAACGTTGCAATCCTGTTAAAGACAGTTGTTTCTCAGAGGCCGGTCTACGAGGCTCCGAGACAGGGCCCTGAAGTGTCCGTGGCCATCGCCTGTCTGTGGCACCCAGCAGGCGCTCTGCACCGATTCTCCGGTGACAGGCACTCCTGTGACGCAGTGCCCGTTCATACATCCGGATTCCCCGCGTCACGGGATCACGATAGCCCCTATTCGCTCCCACGCGTTTTCCAGTCACATCCGCCTTCACCTTCGTTCTCGGGGGACCCAGAGCTCACTGGAGAAGGCAGCCCGAGCCCCGACCAGCTGGGAAACCCAGAGAAGCACCTTGTGGGTGAAATGATGGGGAGCTCATTTACCCTATCTTGGGGCCGAGCCTAGCTGGTCTTGACCCGGGAGGGGAGACTGGAGATCGTCGGGAGGGTTGCTTCTAGAGGGCGGCGCCCCCGGAGAGGGCCACTCGCTTACCTGGGGGTGCAGGCCCTGGCGGGGTGGAGATCAGCAAACCCGAAGATGCAGTAGACACGCGACTGACGGCGCTGGACCCAGGGACTCTGCTCTCCACAGGGCCTCCACCCACGGGGGAGGAAATAAAGCGGGAGGGGACCTCCGGGAGGAGTTTGATGGGGGCTTGGGCGTGGCCTGGGCGGGGGAGGGGCGTGGCTTCAGTGAGCTCCAGCCCGGGTGCGCGCAAACCACTCAGTCCAAGACCCCTGAATCTTAAACTGCCCAACCCGTGTCCTGGCCTCGCCCCCGCACCACCAGGCCCCTCCCTAGATCCCGCCTCACAACCCTCGGCCGCCGCCAGACCCCGCCCTCAGCCCCCTAGCCCTGCACCATGAGACCCCGCCTCCAGCTGACCCTGCCTTGAGAAGCCAGGCTCCGCCCCAGTCTATGACCCGCTGCCCAGAGCTTCCAAGCCCCGCCCTCAGCCCCCATTCCCGCGCCAGGACCCGCCCGCAACTCCAGACAGACCTCTACCCTGTTCGGCCACGCCTCGCTCCAATCCCCACTTTCAGGCTTTTCCTCTCACTTCCTAGGCCTGGTCCCCCTGCCCCAGCCCGGCTTTGTCAGGCCCCGCCCCCAGCTCCGGCCCTTCTGAGCACCTGGCGGTTCTCCAGCCAAGCTGTTGGTTTCTGCAGCACGTTATCTCTGACCTTTTAACCCAGCAGCGCCTGCTGGGCGCTCTCTCAGGCTACTACTTCATCTGGTCCACTTCTGGTCCCTCCTTCCCAGTCCTAGATCTCTTCTTTGTGATACTCTAGCTTGCTCTTCTGCCTACACCCCGTTTTTCAGATGCACTGCTAGGTTCTGCAAAAGGGGCTTGGATCCTTCCGCAGGGCTCAACACCCTAATACTTGAGCAGTTGGAGTGAGTCAGACCAACCTAGAGCATTCTGGGGCCTCGGCATACTGAAGGATTGACCACAGGATTGAGGGGGAGGAAGGGGATCACCTGAATATGTCAGCTGTAGTTTTGTGAGGTGCAAGGTTCAGGCAAGACATAGGCGATGAAGCTGAGGTACAGGTCAGCGTGGGTGACAGCTGTTGACCCAGGGCAATGCAGGAGGAGACTGGGCCTCTCCTTGCCTAGTACAATCAAAGGAAAGACAATTCTAGGGCAAATGGTTGCCAGTAGAAGGGAAGAGGCTTCTAACAGCTTGTCATCTTTGAAAAAGAAAATGTTAAATGAAGACCACAATCCTGTCTGTGAGGACTGGGGTTGGAGGCTTAGCTCAGCTGATAGACTGCTTGTCTAGCATACAGTAATCCCTGGGTGTGATCTCCAGTACCACATGAGCCAAGGGTGATAATGTAGACCTCAGAGCTCAGCACTCAAGAAGCCAGGGAAGCTAATCTGAGCTACAGGAAACCCTCACTCAAAAAACATAAAATAAAAAGCCAGGGCAGACCCAAGGCCCACTACAGGGAATTGAGATCTTCCTGGTCAAGACAACCTGTCACTGGGAATCCAGTTTTCGGTCCCTTCCTCAGAGGGTTCCCATTCCTGAGTGTACCACCCACTCACTATTCATGTATTTTTTTTTTCTCCTTGCATTTTTGAGACAAGGTATTTCTGTTTAGCCCCTCCTGGCCTCAAACTCTGCAATCCTCCTACCTCAGCCTCCTGCATGCTGGGATTACAGGTGTGCACCACTAAGTTGCGAGGGGGGGGGATATTTATCTTTCATTCTCTTCCTGTCCTTCTGAAGCTTGTGTTGCCTATGTGGAAGAAGAAAGACACACGAGGTATTTATTCCCAAGGTTAGGGGGACAGGGGAAGAAGCCAAGGCATGGCCCGCACGAGAAAATAGGACATTTCTAAACTGGTGAGTACAGTGTGTATTGTCAGGGAAGGGAACCCTAGTGAACCCTGGGCCTCAAGCCTGGGAGATTGGGGCTCCCATGTTTTCTCTTCTTACAGATGGTTTCTTTGGTTGTTGTTTTTTGTTTTTCAATTCTTTGTTATTTTTAATTTTGATTTATTTATTTTATTTTATTCCCAAGTGCTCAGGACATGTGAGCCACTTATGTTGATGGTGACATGGGCATCTAAGCCAGAGATCCACAGAGAAGTGGGGGATTTGAGTGGGCCAGGGAGAATTTTTAGTGGAAGTTACAGCCAAAACAGTACTGCTGGGAAAGGATGGGGTGCCAGCCTTTCATTTGCACCTGATCCCCAACCTGAGAGCAGTTAGGTGTTCTTGGAAGAGGCTGCTCCTGGCTTTTTGGAGCTGAGCAAATGGAAGGACTAAAAGGAGCGTCAAGGCTGGCAAGATGTCTGCCAGCAAGCCTGACAGCCTGAGTTCAATCCCCAGGACCTACCTAGTGGAATAAGAGAACCAACTCCCACAAGTTTTCTTTTTACTTCCATATGTACATCTACACATATACATGTGAGCACAAAATAAATAAATTTAAATGTAATCAAAAGTAGTATCAGGGGACAGCAGTGTAGAGTCCACAAAAGTCTCCTAAGGCTCTCTGGGTAAAGGTGAAACCCATTTTGGACCTTGGTTGCATGGGAGGAGCAAGGTGGAGGTGTGGACGATATGGAAGGTGGACAGTCTGGAAGGCCTGACCCAAGAGCAGTCAAAAGAAGGGAGATGGTACACTCGAACGATTTAGAAACAAAATTGATTGGGATTAGAGGGACAGGGGAAGCCAAGATATGGACCGCACGAAACAATAGGACATTTCTAAACTGGTGAGTACAGTGTGTATTGTCAGGGAAGGGAACCCTAGTGAACCCTGGGCCTCAAGCCTGGGAGACCGGGGCTCCCATGTTTTCTCTTCTTACAGACTTTTCTTTGATTGTTGTTTTTTGTTTTTCAGTTCTCTGTTATTTTTATTTTTGAGCCGGGATCTCTTATATCTCAAGCTGGCCTCAAAATCCCTGTGTACCTGAGGATGACCTTGACTTTCTGATCCTCATGCCTCCACTAATTTCTAAACTCTGGGATTATAGGTGTGAGACACCTTAAGAGATGTTTTGGGGTGTGTGTGTGTGTGTGTGTGTGTGTGTGTGTGTGTGTGTGTGTTTCCCAGGGCTTCTTACACAATTGGAAAACACTCTCCCACTGAGCTGCATCCCATTACAGCCCCCCAACCCCAACACTCACAGGCAGACTTTCACACCCTTTATGATCTTCCCATCCATGTAAGGCTCATCTGATTAAGGAAGCTGATAAACACTGGACACAGGAAGCAACTCTGAGCTGCTCTCCTCTTCCCCTCTATTTTAATTACTTTTCTGTTGCTACAATAAAACACTCTGACAAAACCACTTTAGGAAGGAAGGGTTTATTTTGGTTCACAGTTCCAAGATATACAGTCTGACATCGAGGGGAAGTCACAGTGGCAGGGGGATGGGGCGTCTGGTCACAGTCTGTGTGCAGTCAAGAAACAGAGAGGGATGAACGAGGGTGCTTAGCTCATCTCCACCCCCACCCCCACCCCGCCCTCCAGACAGGGTTTCTCTGTGTAGTTTTGGTGCCTGTCCTGGATCTCACTCTGTAGACCAGGCTGGCCTCAGACTCACAGAGATCCGCCTGGCTCTGCCTCCCGAGTGCTGTCACCGCCACCAGCTCATCTTGCTCTTTTTATATACTCCAGGATCCCCAGCCAGGGAGCAGTGCCACCACAGTGGACAGGTCTTCCCACTTCAGTCTAGTGAAGACACTCAGGCATATCCACAGGCCTCTCTCTCCCAGGTGAGTCTAGATTTCATCAAGTTGGTAACTGAGATTGACCATTAGAGCCTCCAACTAAGGAGCTGAAGTAGGCACCTATATCAACCTCTAGACCCTGGGCTCATTGCGGCCAGGCCTGGAGACTGGACCCTGGACCAATGAAGCCTGGGCTAAACACAATAATAGACATTCAAAAATATCACTGTCGTAGTTAGGGTTTTTATTGCTGCTATGAGACACCATGACCAAAACGGAAGTTGGGAAGAAAGGGTTTATTTGACTTACACTTCCAAATTGTAGTTCATCATTGAAGGAAGTCACAATAGGAATTCAAATAGGGCAGGAGCTGATAGAAAGGCCATGGAGGGGTGCTGCTTACTGGCTTGCTCCTCATGGCTTGCTTTCTTTTAGAACCCAGGACCATCCGCCCAGGGATGGCCCCACCCATAATGGGCTGAGCTCTCCCCCATCAGTCACTAATTAAGAAAATGCCTTATAGCTGGATCTCGCAGAGGCATTTCCTCAATGGAAACTCCCTCCTCTGGTGACCCCAGCTTGTGTCAAGTTGACATAAAATTAGCCAGGACAATTTGACATTATTCTGACCTCTGAAGTCTGTAACTATGATACTTCAATTTCTTTTTTATATTTACTTATTTGTGGGGGCACTTATGTGCCGCAGCCTAAGATGCAGGTGTCAGAAGGCAGTTGTGACCTTCCTTCCACCTTGTGGGTTCCAGGGATTAAAACTCAGGTCACCAGACTTGAAAGCAAGTGCTTTTACTACCGGATTCATCTCTTCAGCCCCTAATTATGTTACTTCCTATGACAAACAGGATTGCACATGGGATGAAATGAAGGGCCTTGAGAAAGGAGATGACTCTGAACTCCCTGGGGCCTGGGGTCACCACAAGGTCCTCACAATGTTGCTTGCAGGCATGAACCTGCGTCCCAGTGATGCCTGAACCCAGACCAGACTCCGAGCCCCAACTGTGGCGTCTTCTTCCACATACTTGGACTTGAGGGTAGTGAGTAAGCTGCCCTCCAGCACGGTAAGAATTTGTGTTGCTTCCTTTTTCTATCTTTGTCTGTATACGTGTGTGCACATCTTTGTTGCATGTGTGGGCATGTACTGTGTGACAGTGCCTGAGCATGTATGTGTGTGTGCGTGTGGAAGCCCTAAGCTGATGTGAGGATCCCTTTGATCCCTCTTCCACTTATTCATTGAGTCAGAGTCTGTCAGTCAAACCCAGAGTTGGCCAATGTGGCTAGTCTTGCTAGCTAGCTTGCTCAGAGGATCCCCTGTCTCTGCCTTCTGAAACTGGAATTACAGGTGGGCATAGCACACTGGGTCTGGAGATCCAAACTCAGGTCCTCATACTTTATACATCAAGTGCTCTTGCCACTAAGCCATCTCCCCACCCATATGTTTCTTTACTCATTGAGTTTTTGATCCTTTTTTTTCTTCTTTTGTTGATGGAGGGGAGCTATGTAGTCTAGGCTGTGCTGAGATTACAGGTATGTACCACTATGCCTGGTAGTGTGTGTGTGAGAGAGTGTGTGTGTATGTGTGCATATGTGTGAGTTTTTATGTGTGTGTGCACATGTGTGAGTGTTTATGTGTGTATGAGTGTGTGTGTATGAGTGTGAGTATGTGTGCACATGTGTGAGTGTTTATGTGTGTGTATATGAGTGTGTGTGAGTGTGTATGTGAGTGTGTGTGTGTTTGTGTGTTTCTAGGGATAGAACCCAGAGCCTTGCTCTCTCCTAGTCATTTTCTTTTCTTTCTCTCTTCCTTTTTCTTTTTCTTTCTTTCTTTTTCTTCTCAAGACAGAGTTTCTCTAATTTAGCCCAAGCTGGCCTCAAACTCAGGAGTATTCTGCCTCCACCTTTCAAGTGCAGAATGTTGCTGGGGTTATCTCCTGATCCTGCCTGGCCCACAGTCAGGACAAATCTCTCTCACCTGCCAGTCCCGCAGCTGCTCGGACCCAAATAAACACATAGATGCTTATATTATTTATAAACTATATGGCCGTGTGGCTCAGACTTCTTGATATCTAGTTCTTATATCTTAAATTAGCCCATTTCTATAAATCTATACCTTGCCACGTGGCTCGTGGCTTCCTGGTACTTTACATCCTGCTCCTCATGGCGGCAGCTGACAACATCTCCTCGCTCAACCTTTCACTTCCCAGAATTCTCCTCTCTCCTTATCCCACCTACACTATACTTCCTGCCTGGCTACTGGCCAATCAGCGTTTTATTTATCAATCAATCTGAGCAACACACTCACAGCATCCCCCACCCCAGAATGACAGGCACTACTCATGCCTGACCCTGAATCTTTTTAAAATTTCATTTTCAGGCCAGTTGTAGTGGCCTACACTTGTCATAGTGGCACTGAGGAGGTAGAATCAGGAAAATCAAGAGTTCAAGATCATCTTCTGGGCACTACAGTGAGTTCAAGACCAGACTAAACTACATGAAACCACATCTTTAAAAAAAAAAAATAGTAGGGCCAGTGAGATATCTCATTGGATAAAGGTGATTGCTGCCCAGCTAATAAATTGAGTTCAATGCTGGGACCAGCATGAGAGAAAGAGAATGGACTCATACAAGTCTTCCTCTGACAACCCACACACACATACACACACACACACACACACACACACACACACACACACACACATATCATAGCACATTTAATAAGTAAATAAATATAATAAGAGAATAACTCATTTTCAACTTGTGATTCTCCTACCCCACCCACGTGCATGTCTGGGAAAAGCTGAGGTTACAAACCTGTACCATCACACCGCGTTCTGAGAATCTGTTCTGGTAACAACTGGGAAAATCCTATAAACTAGAGCCTTCTGGCCAAAGATGTGCTTGCAGGATTAACCCTTTTCATCAGGCCCTTCCCTGGCCTTGATGTACTCCATCACCCACTCTTTCTGCCTTTCTCTAGGGCCCTGCTCTGTAAGGATGGAGTACAAGAGTATGGCTAAACCCGGCTTAGCTGCCAGTGGGCCTAAAGGCTGATTGCCCAGTTTTTCCCATACCTGTCCTCCCTGGCATGACCTTTGCCAAGCATCCTATTCTCTACTGGAACTGGGAGGCTCTAGGTCCCGAGAGGGATTTCTGTTGAAGACCAACTGGTTATCTTTTATGCTGTGTGACTTTAAATGTTGACACAACCTCCCTGGACCCAATATTCCCATCTTTGGAAAGGAAAACAACCATGCTGTTCTTGAAGTATGGAGCTACAGATACATAGAGGGGACGGACCACTGTCCCGACTTGGCCTGAGTAGGGGTTGGCACAGGAAGAATGGAGATCAAGGATTATGCCCTGACTGTTTCCTCTGCCTGGTTCTTCTGCCTCCCTTTCCCGATCCTTTCACCCACTTCAGTCAAAGACCCACCTTGCCTGTCCCTTCCTCCAACAGTCTTATCTTCCCTGGTTCTCTTTTCCTACATCTTTGGCTTCCCTGGAGAGTGCCCACTCCCAACCCCATCCATCCCAGCACCAAAGCAGCCTGGAACAGGGCTTTGTGCACAGAAAGCTGCTGCAGGTTGGGACAGCGGTGGGAGCCACCATAAGAGCATGGACTCCTGGTTGTGTGCATCCTACCTGATCCTGCATTCGACTGTGTGTGATTGTGAGGGTGTGTCTGTCCCTGGGACATCTGTCTGCAGGGCTGGGTAAGTGACTGTGTGTTTCTCTGTTGTGTCTGAGTGTTTCTGGGTGCATATGTGTCTATCTCTGGGCATGTGTATGTGTGTTCCTGTCTGTGTGCCTGTCTGTGTATTTCTGTAAGTGTGTTTGAGTTGGTATGTGTGTTTCTCTGTATCTCTATTTCTGTGTGTCTGCTGTATTTCTGTATATTTCTGGTCCTGTTTGTATATGTCTCTGTCTCTGTTTCTATGTATCTGTGTGTTTCTGTGAGTGTGTGTTTGTTGGTGTGTACCTATGTATCTGTGCATGCATTTCTATGTATGTGTGTTTCCATCAATGTGTATTTCTGTGCACCTGTGCGTGTATGTGTTTGTTTGACCATCTGGGGACCTCTGAGAATAGATGTTTGACTCGGGTCTCCCCTCTGCGGCAGGCGGTTTAGAATCCTGCCTTCCCACCCACTTTAGCGATCCTGTCACCTGCTTCCATGCCTTACTTCTCGCCTCCTCCCCACTGCGCCTCAGCCTACTCTTTTCCCAGAGCGAAAGCTGAGGAATCCACCTCTCTTCATCCTTCCTGGGAGAACCTGTCCAGTTTTCCTAGAGGCAGCTGGCACATGACACCACAGGGCTGGATAACCGGTTCGTGATGGCAAGGCCTCCCATCAGCCCAGGACCCACACCTGCTTCAGTGGCTAGGTGGGGTCCCAGCCCCAGACCGGCAGGGCTTGGCCAGGTCATGTCCCACAGCAAGGGTCTTAAAAATCCCTGTTTTGTAGCTGAGTTCAGAGGAGAGGAGAGAGAGAGAGAGAGGCTCTGACCCTTCTAAGATTTTCACCTATCCAGTAGTGCATTAAGCTACTAACCCATGGGGGCCCTCATAACACATCTCCTGCTGCACTGGGCTTACGCCGTTACCTCACAAAACAAGTGAGCTCTTGAGGAACATTCAAATTATTATCACATCAAAATTATTAACACGTGATAATTCTATTTTTCACTCTTTCAGAACCCTGAGCTTTTTTTAGCTTACTGTTTATAGGAACTCATGTGTATTTATTTGTATGTGTGTGTATGTTTGTATGTGTGTGTATGTATGTATGTGTGTATATGTATGTATGTGTGTGTATGTGTATATGTTTGAGTGTGTGTGTGTGTTTGTGTATCAGTATATGGATACTGGATGTTAACATTGGTCATCTTCCTCTCTTGCTCTCCACTTTTTTGAGTCTCTCACTACACCTGGACCCCACTGATTGGTCAGAGAGTCCCCAAGACCTTAACCCCACTCCCAGCACTGGAATTATAAATGAGCACCACTGTGGGATTCAAACTCAGGTCTTGCTTGCACAAGGACTTTGTTGAATGAGCAATCTACACAGGCCTTCCCCAGTGTTAGAGTAGTATTAAAGGCCCAACAGGGAAAACCATTTCCTTGTAGACCAGAGAAAAGAATCTTTGGCCTGGGTGGAGACCCAACATTCCAGGTGGTCAGCCACCTGGTTAAGGGACACCCCCTAAACAAGGTAGATCCACCTTAAGCCCCACTAAAGAGACAGAAGGACTCGTTATCCCCTCAATGAGATGATGTGCTTGTCCAGTCCAGAACCTGTACTCTGCTGTCCCCTACACAGCTGGTCCTGCAGCCTCCTGAGCTGGTCTGCTTTTCTGAATTACTAAAAAACGTTTCCTTCATATCTTTTTTCTTAGCAGGCTTTCCCTAACACTTTGGGCTTTATCTTTTCTCTGGCACCCCCTCCCTGACATGAGGTGCTTGTCTGCAGTGTGGCTCACCTCCATGCTGGCACTGGTTCCTCTCTTGCTCTTCCTGGACTTGGCCAGCATTCCATCCCTCACCCAATGTTCCTCTATTTCCCTTCAGAAAAGAGCAGGCCTCCAGGGATATCAACCAAACATGGCAAAACAAGATCTGCATTTTATTTTAAGCTTTAATAAAATTGTCATTGACCTTTATTCTGAGTCCTTTTCAAATTCTTTTATTAACAAGACTAGAAGCCCAAGAAAGAACCTCAATTTCCCCAGTAATGTGTGGGGACTCCACCAGAACCCCCTAAATTTCTAGTGACACTTGGAGCCTTGGAAGTAAACATTTCTTAGTGTTTTAGGTTATTGTTGTTGTTGTTGTTGTTGTTGTTGTTGTTTCTCTTTCTTTCTCTCTTTCTTCCTTGTAGCCATTAAGGTGACTGTTAAAAGTGCCCCACTCCCAGGATTTTTATGATGGTCACAGGCTGGCACTTCTTACCACCTTCCTTTGGCTTGCTTGACTAAGACAGTCTTGCTGTGGAGGCCAGGATGGCCTTGGCCTCACTCTCTTCCTGCATCAGGCTCCCCACTACTGGGGATGCAAGCAGATACCCTGGCCATCTCGTATGTGTGTGGAAAGGGGGGATCAGGAGTGTGTGGGTGTGTGCATGTTTGTGGAGATCAGAGGTCAGCTCCAGCTGTCCTTCCCAGGTGCCATCTAACTGGGGTTTGGTTTGGTTTGTTGTTTTAAGATACAGTTGCTAATTAAGCCAGGCTGACTAGCCCAGCAGCCCAGGGCTGTGCCTGTCTCCAGGTCCCCAGGATTACAGTGCTAGGATGACAAACAAGCATCCTCGTGCTTGGCTTTGAAAACACAGGTTCTGGGTACCAAACTCAGGTCCTCACTTTTTCAAGCAAGCCCTTTACCAAGTGAGCCATCTCCCTAGCCTCCTGCCCGGCTTGTCCTTTCTCGCAGCTGCATGATATCACACTTGAGAGGAGCTTCACTTAACGAACCCAAGTGCCAGCAAATGGGTAATCTATCACAGAAGTTTCCAAACCAGTGAGGATGTCTCCTGGATTAAATGTTTACAAGTGAAGTTACCAGAGGCCTGAGGAGGCATGACTCTGACAAGCATATCAAACGTTTCCCACACACTGTCACGTCTGTTTTCAAACAGCTCTAATATCAGAGGCTTTATTAACTTGTTCTAATTTACACTTTTGTCACCTCTGTGCTTAAAAAGCCAATCTGTAATCTCCGCCCACCACCACCCCCAGGCTTTTTGTGTGTTTTGGTTTTTATCTTTTTCCATATTTATGCAAGGGTCACCCACCCCATCCCACACACACACACACAAGGGAGCTTTCCAGCCCCATGCTGAGCTCAGAGCCCAAGGCCTCTGCTGTGCTAGTTAATTGCCCGCCTACATCCTCAGCACAAGTTGTGTGTGTGTATTCATGCGTAAGCATGTCGGGGAGGGGCCAGAGGGTGTCATTCCTTAAGAGCTGCCAATCTTGGTGTGTATGTGTGTGTTTCAATAAACTGTTATTATACTATTTGTTTATTTAATTCGTTTGTGTGCATATGTGCTTATGCCATGCAGTTGGAGGCCATAGAACAACTTGCAGGGATCGGTTCTCTCTGCCCACCCTGCTGAGTCCAGGGATCAAGCACAGGTTGTCAGGCTTAGTAGCAAATCACTTTACCTGCTCTGCCATCTCACTGGTCCCCAGCCTTGCTTTTTTGAGACAGAGCCTCTCACTGGCCTGGTACTCATCAGTTAAGTTAAACTAGCTGGCCCCACTCTGGAGTTACAGAGCCACACCTATCCTTTTTCTGTGGATTTGGGGATCACATTCAGCCCTTATGCTTGCATGGAAAGGTGTTTACTGAGCTATCGCCTCAACTAAAGTTCTTTTTAATATTAAGAAATGAGATAGTTGGGCGGTGGTGGCTCACACCTTTAATCACAGCACCCAGGAGGCAGAGCCAAGTAGACCTCTGTGAGTTCAAGGCCAGCCTGATATACAGAGTGAGATCCAGGACAGGCACCAAAACTACACATGGAAACACGGTCAAAAAAAAAAAAAAAAAAAAAATAAGAAAAAAAAAAAAAAAAAAAAAAAAAAAAAAAAAAAAAAGGAAAAAAAAATGGGATTCAGAGATTTGTTTCTTACTTTTTAAATTATTTTATTACTTTATGTGTATGAGTAGCAGATTCCCTGGAACTGGAGTTACAGGTAGCTGTGAATGGAAGTCAAACCCAGGTCCTCTGGAAGAGCAGCCAATTGCTTTTAACCATCATTTCAGCCCGGTTTGTTTGTGTCTGTTGTTGTTGTTTTGGAGGTTTTGTTGCTGTTGTTTAATTACTTGTGTCTCTGGGAGCAAGAGGACATCTTCATGAGTATAGTGCTTGCAAAGGCCAGAAGAAGGTATCGGATCCCCTTGAGCTGGAGTCACAGATTAGATGTGAGTCTCCAGATGTGGATGCTGAGAATCAAACCCAACTCTTCTGTAAGAGCAGTCTAAGCTGTTGACCACTGAGCTGTCTCTCCAGCCCAAAGAATTGGCCCTGTATTCTATGATATGGGTTACATTGCTCCTGCCCCTCACCCCATTTGTGTATCTTTACTTCATTTACAATGTTTCTGTTTATGAATCTATTTATGTTTTTATGAAGTTGAGCTTTAGTTATATGTAGATGTAACCAACTGTCTTATTAAATAAGAAACACAGAACCAATGCAAAGAAGAAAGCCAAGAGATCAGATCTAAGAGCCCTACCCGTCTGCTGCAGCTAGCCTCTTCAGCCAAGAGAGCTACTTCCTGTGGTTTTGTCTTTATATAGACTTTCTGTTCTGCCTTCTCATTGGTTGTAAACCCAAACACATGACTGCCTTGTCACTGCCTGTCTGTACAGACCTCCAGGTCTTCTATGGTTGGTACTGAAATTAAAGGCCTGTGTCTCCATTGCTGGCTGTATCCTTGAACACACAGAGATCTACCTAGCTCTGCCTACCAAGTGCTGGGATTAAAGGCGTGCACCACCACTGCCCAGCTTTTGCTATGGCTCTAATAGCTCTGACCCCTGGGCAACTTTATTTATTAACAGTTATACTTTTCATGACTTTCATTTTTATTCCTCTAGAAATGTATTTCCCACTTTCAAATTATTATGTGAGGAAAACATCCAACTGTGGTTTATTATTGGCATTTTTATGATTCTATGTTTCATCTGTGAAACTTTGGTTCCTCAGGAATTGGTATTGTGGTAAAGTTTGAGGCAGGGATCTGTTATGACTCACAAGTCCTCTCCCAAATTCATGCTGAATTTATTCTTTATTTTTCTTTTTCTCATGGCTTCACTTCTCATCTCTTCCTTCCCTTTCCTCCCCTCCTCTTCTACACCCCCTTCTTTTTCTTTTCCCTTTTCAGATGGGGTCTTCTCCAATGCCCAGGCTGGTCTTGAGCTCCCGAGAACAGCTGGAACAAGAGGTTGTGCCCCACACTGGACTCGCAGTACAATACTAATTGTCACTGTGACAGGATTGAGAGGAGGTTCTCTAGGAGATGATTTCACCAGAAGGACTCTGCCCTCATGGATGGATTTTTGCAACTCTATTGCTGAATAACATTTCATTGTGTGCATGTCCACCTATTGATGGACACCTAAGATGATTCTGTAATCATGAACAGAGCAGCAGTGAACATGGGTGTGAAATATCTCTGTGTCAAGATATCAAGTCCCATGAATAGTACAGCTGGATCATATGGTTAGTTCCATTCCTGGCTTCTGTAGAATCCCTAATATTGAATTCCATGATGGCCATATCAGTTTACACACCCATCAGTAGCAAATAAAGATCAAAGACGAGACTCTTGAAAAGACATTTGTGCCAGGAGGACTCTGCTCTCTTGGATGTGTTCGTGTAAAAGTGGGTCCCTGATTACATTTAGTGAGTCACAAAACAAAAAGAAAAAAATATCAAAGTGGGAGGGGGCCTTAGAGGAAAAGTAGCTCAACCAGGGTGGAGGAGGGGACAAGAGAATGGAACTGGGTGGTAAGAATGTGTTGTATATAACTATGAAATTGTCAAAAATAAATTTGATTTAAAAAACCTAACAATGCAGTAGTGGGAAGAATACCTTAGCAGTAACCAACAGCTCCTTAATTGGATTTAAGACCCACTCAAAAAGAAGGAGTCCATGTCTGGGACTGGAAACCTAGCCAAATACCCAGAGCTAGGGAAGTCACGGCCTGTGGAGGAAAGTATACCACTCTACTAAACCCACATAATTCTGAACTACATTCTAAAGAATGTATCTTTATACTCATAGATCAAGTGTAGTCTTCACCCTTTATCCAGGAAACTTCTCTTTGAAACAGACAGAGAACATTACAGAAAACCACAGCCAATCAAAATGCAGAGTTGTGGAGCCCAGACCCATTGGATACATCTACAATACAGCTCCCACATCAAAGGCTCAGGGAACATCGCAGAAACATTGTAAAGGCCAGACAAGCAGGGAGTTTACTGTGAGATTATATTTCCGAGTAATGTTCGAGTTACACCCACAAAGTTTCACCGATATGACTGCATACACATGAGCTGAACAAGGATGACACAATCATTGCAGAAGCCCAAGAGGCCTCAACCCTACACAAATAATTACAGCAGCTAAGGAATGCTGAGCGCAGGAGAAATAGTCTGCCCTTGGGAAGAGCACACCAACTGATTATCCAGTATTAAATGGTCAGCCCTAAAAACATTTGCATACAAGTAACATTGTATAAACTAGGCGTGATGGGGCAAGCCTTTCATCCCAGCACCCCAGAGGGAGAGGCATGAGGATCTCTGTAAACAGGCTAGCCTGGTGTGTTTACATGGAGTAACCCTGCTTAAAAAGTAAGTGGAGAGCAATTGATGAAGACATCCAACATGGACTTCTGGTCTCCCCGTGCACAGTGCATGCATGCGTGTGCATTGTGAATTGGCTAATACCTTTCATTTTGAGAATTATCCTTTCAATTATAACTGCATCTCATTAACTATAACAGAGAATGGGTTCATTGTTCTAACTTGTATTTTTTGAAATTCACAGTTTCTTCCTGCCAATGCTTTTGTTCCCTGTTCTGAGTTTTTGGGGCATGTTTTAATCAGAAGGGGCCTTTTTTCTAAGACCAGTGAGCCAAAGCTCAGTAGAATCTACCTTAGACAATCCAGGACAGGGCATAGGGAAATGTCTTAGTGGGTAAAAATGCTTGCCTTGCATTTTTTGAGCAAGCATAAGGATATGAGTTCAGTCAAGAACTCACATTAAAAAATGCCAGCTGTGAAGGGCTTGGTAGATGTCTCAATGGGTAAATGCTTATGGCACAATCATGAGGATCTGAATTTGGGTCCCCAGAAATTACATGTAAAGTTAGGTGCAATGTTTTGTACCTGTAATGACAGTACCAGGTGGGTGGGTGAAGAGGAGCCAGAAACAGGCAGATCCCTGACGCTCATTGGTCAGCCAGCCTAGCTGAATAGATGAGCTCCAGGCTCAATGAGAGACCATGTACACAAGGTAACATTATATGGACTGAGTAAGTTGTACGTGCGTGCGTGCGTGCGTGCGTGTAACAACCACTAAAAGAATAGAGGCCATAAATTTGAGAAAGAACAAGAGTGTACATGGGAGGGGTTGGAATGAGGAAAATGAAGCAAGAAATGATATAATTATAACTTTTAAAAATAAAAATTAATAGAATAAGTAAGTAAATAATGTGGATAGTGATTGAAAAGGATACCTGAAGTATACATCTCTGGCCTGTGTGCATGCACCCACATGAACATGAACAAGTATATACCACAAACACACACACACAAACACACACACACACACACACACACCAAACCATTCATATGATGGCATATGTTTGTAACCCCAGCACTAGGAAGGTAGAGAGAGATGGATTCCTGGAGCTTGCTGACTAGCCAGCCTAGCCAAATCATCAGTTCAGGAGCAGTGAGAGACGCTGTCTCAAAAAACAAGGTGGGAGAGATTACTCAGCACTTAAAGGCATTGACTCTCTTCCAAAGGATCCAGGTTTGATTTCCAGCACATTCATAGTGCCTAACAACCTTTTATAATTCCAGTCCTATGGGATCTGACGCCCTCTTCTGGCCCCTACAATCACTGCACATACATGGTGCACAGAATTACCTGCAGGCAAAATGTCCATACACATAAAATAAAAATAATAAACCTTAAAAAAATTAAGGAGGGGGCTGGAGAGATGGCTCAGTGGTTAAGAGCACTGGCTGCTCTTCCAGAGGACCCGGGTTCAATTCCCAGCACCCACATGGCAGCTCACATTTGTTTGTAACTCCAGTTCCAGGGTACCCAACATCCTCATGCAGACAAAACACCAATGCACATAAATAAAATAATAATAATAATTTTTTTTAAAAAAATTAATGTGGACATCACTTGAGTAATATTTGAAGTTGTCCTCTGGTCTTCACATGATGTGCACATATTTGCACTTGTGTACACATATAGGTATATAGGAAGAAAGGAGAAAGAGAGAAAGAAAAGGTGGGAAGGGAGGAAATAGGGATAGGAAAGAGATAGGAAGACGTGAAGGGAGAAAGAGAGGGAGATCCAGAGCAGACTGGCAGGTATTTGTTTGTAGTGAACAAGGACAAGACACATGGTGAGATGAGATGTGCTGTATGCAGATAATGTGGTGAGGAC